GTCTGCTTCTGACGCCTCGCTAGTGACCTGCTCCAACAACTCAAGCCACTCGGACACTCTATCCCCGTTGAAGTGAAAAATGTTAACCTTGGGCACCTGAAGTCGTGCCATCTCTCTTTTTTCCAATGCCTTGACGAAGTCCTCAGGTGAAGCACCCGGGCCCCGCTCGATTCCATCGGAGTCCGGCATCTTTGTCCTTTCTCAAAACCTGTTGCGAAAAAAACGATTTCGACAAACAACCTGCCATCAAACCTCTAAACTCTCTAGTTTCATGATTCAATCGGACATACTTTTAATAACTAAGGAAGTCTATCCAGCCTTTATATCGTAATTCCAACTCTATTATTTGAAACGAATACACACAAGGCACACTCTCAACCTTACTCGCAATCAAAAATAAATTTTGATAGGCCATCGAAGATAGCACGATACTCATATCATCGTCAAACTTCTTCATCAAAGGTTGTCGTTTTGCCTGGATCATCTGCCTGCTCTTAACCTGGGCTCATTCACTGTGGACCCCGGTAGGCAGCCGAGATCCCCGGCAACGGCGCCACCTGTCGCACGCATCGGTCCCGCACGGGGACCCTCCCGGCCGCGTCACGCAGGATTTTGCAGGACTTTGCCGCAGAGTGTTTTAGCCGCTCCGGCCGAGTGCGCCAGCCATACCTCTCGCGAGCCCCTACCACAGGACAGGGTCATGCGAGGCACCGCTTACCTCCACCTGCGGGAGCTGTCACCATCCCTTAGGTGGGCGTATCCCCGCCGAGCTACTGAACCACATGCGAAAGTTTTTAGTATGCAATTGCAGAGGTGGCCCAGCCGAGAGCGTTTCTCGCTCGCTGTAGCATAGGGGGTTACGCGCGGTTGAACGCCTGAAAATCGAACCCGCACGCGAATCGACGTACTGGGGGGGTTGAGGTCCCAAACGCGACTCGGCGCCGGTCGACTATCACACACACCACGCGTTACACCACAACACTCACATCTACCCACACATAACACAGGCAAAAAACACAAAACAAACACAACATCACAACACTCCTAGTCCCTTCAGTATCGGACCCATAACTTCATGCTGCGAGAATCAGGTAGGCATCGCGCGCTGAACTTTTGTATAAGAGTCGTGCGTGCTCATGACCCCCTCATATCGACCAGCCATGTGGACATTCGCAAGCATTTGCACTGATGGGGTACTATGTGGTACTCGTAGCCTTGCGGCCCTTGATAATCTCAAGCGTCGCGTTCGACGCTCAAGTGTCGGCTGACAGGCGCTTTGAGGGGTTATCTCTCGATGCTAGACAACCGCCATGTGCGGTTGAAGACCATACCCTCTTCTGCACCCTGTGCAGAGGGGTTGAGTAGACAGCTCCAGAGCTGTCTTTGTAGCCAAAATCAAGGGGTTTGACTTTGACGGCTACCACGGATTACAACGTCCAACCAATAAAACTTAAAAGAGGAAACAAATACAGATAGAAAAAAGGGGGGATCACCATATTTCATCTCTCTATCTAGCTCATAGTCTGACAAGTCTCCAGCGGAAGGTGTAGGCCAACCCGTGAGATGCGTGCGGATGGTGCCCAAAGCTGGACCCATAGGCAACCCGTTGTTCGAGGCGTTGGAGGCTCGTACGCAAGCCCGCATACGTCGACTGGGATTCATATCTCGCCCACGCGCCGTTTCGCGCTATTAAAACTCGGGTCTACTAGCCATAACGCGCCTTTGCCTTTTTCGCTTGACCCATAACTTTCAGGTGTGGAAATCGGTAAGTGTCGCGCGCGCGGGTTAACATAAGGCCACGCGACCACAGGACTTACGCATATCGACCAACAATGCGGATTTGCGTAAGCAATCGTGATGTCGGCGCACCATGTAGTGCCCATACCCGAGTGGCCTCGTTTAAGCCATGGGGTCGCTTTCGATGCTCAGGCGTCGGCTGAAGCGCACGCTAAAGATGGTAAACCTTTAGCGAGCGCAAAAATCGGCCTGGGGGCCTTACCRTCTTCAGCACCCTGAGGTGTCCCAAGGGGTGCGAGGTAAGATGGTCCCTAGGGCAGGAAGGGATTCGGAGCGGTGGTGAGTTGTCTGGCGCATCACCAGCGACACGCTAATCCTTCYGCCCGGAACTTTATCGTTCCACCAAAAGCAAACTAAACAAGGAAAGAAAATAGGGGCGCTTGTCGCTAGCCGAAGAAGACATGAATGTCCTGYCGGACCGAGTTGCTGGGGGTCAGTCCCTCCTTCTCGCGGCTCTTTTGTTTCCCTAAGGATGTAAGTAGGTCAGAACTGTGCGAAGGGTAATCCCTTTAGCCCCGGACCTAGGACCTCGGACTAACGTTCGACCATATAAAATCAAAGAGTAAAAGAGAGCCGTGAACGTGCAGTCACATATCCTTGTGAGGGTTATCCGAGCGTACGCCTACTTTGACTATTAAAGAATCAGGATAGGAAAAGACCAAACGCAATCAAACAAAGAGTTTGTGTGGTAGTTCACTCTCACGACATTTGTGTGATTTGCCCATCTCAATCCAATTCACAACCAATCACCAAACTTTATCAAGGTTTCTCCACACATACCTGCGATCACACACAGAAATCAAACGACATCACACACACTAAAGGGGTCAACTTTTCAGCCTTCTGCAGCTCACACCCTGCCTTACACACACAAGCCCAACCTTTTCCCCACCTTTCCATAACAAAGATACTCAGTCTTTAAAGAAATGGCCATTTATAAAGAATSTGGGTGAAAACCCAAGAAAACAATAAACMAGCAAGGGCCAAGGCTTTTASGTTGAGAAGCAGAAGTRGTAGGAAAGTTGAGTCGTAAACCGACGAATCGGCAACCGACCTGTTATCAATGATAACAGAAGAATAATCCTTRACAGGATTATGCTGGTCAGATCAATCCTTCAACCGAGTCACAAAGACCTGCAGCACAGTACAGGCCAAAGAGAACCACTACTACGTTTACCTCATATGGAGAATACTTTTTAGCTCGTATTCTAACTCCTCTACTAGTCTCAAACTCAGCTCCCATTTTCTAATCCCAGGTCCTGAGAAATTCGGCAGCATCTCTCCTATTCAGGGTGGATTTGCCAAGTTTCTCCTAGCATAAATTATTCTAACTCCTCGATTTCTATGAAATTTCGGCAGCGCTTCCCGTAGGAAAAGTGTCTTTTCATAATTTCTGAATCCCGTAGGAAAAGGAGGCTGCCAAGATTTATACAAAGCTGAAAATAGAAAGACAAAGCAAAACTATACTTGGGACTAACTTCTGACACTTACTTTGGAAGGTAGAATCAGCGATAGTCTGCACGACCTCTAGACGAGAGCGTGAGCTAGCACTGATCCTAACTCCTAGCAGAGTCAAGTCCTATCTTATCCCAAGCTTTTCTCCCATCATCCATCTTATCTGCCTATGGCTCCAGCACTCAGCGAGCATCTAAAGCAACTAATCCTATCCAAAAATGCCCTAGAGTGAGAGCCCGCAAACACACACACAAACAATCACAACGAACATCTCTCACCATCCCTCAGGTTTCTTTCAACCTCATAGTTCGTTCAAAAACCTCGTTATTCCCTTTTACATCCCCCTTTCTTATGGCATACGGTCAGACAAGGCCCTAACCCTGGGGTATGCCTGACCTGCCTAGGTACACGAGTAAAGCACGCACATTTGGACTGCCCTAACCCTAGGGTGTGCCCAACATGACAGGAACGATACACATAAGGCATATGCCTAACTGACAACAAGCGCATAGGACTGGGCTGCCCTAACCCTAGGGTGTGCCCAGTCTGCTTTAAACAAAGTTACATACGGCATCATTCTAGACCATCCCTACCCAGGGGTAGGTCTAGATTGCCTGAACATAAGTACAAACGACAAAAAGTTGAACCGCCCTAACCCTAGGGTACGTCCAATCCATAGCACATCAACGACAAAGGCATATTAYTAGGCCGCCCTAACCCTAGGGTTCGCCTAGTTAGCCATACAGTTTTAGTTACCAAAGGCAATGTGATCAGGCTGCCTTAACCCTAGGGTGTGCCTGATCTGCCTGAACAATTATAAACATCGAAACGCTGGACCGCCCTAACCCTAGGGTACGTCCAACTTACTTTAAACGACAAAAGCTTATCGTTAGGCCGCCCTAACCCTAGGGTACGCCTAGTTACCCATACAACATGAAATAGGGTACAAATACTTTCACAGACTTTATGTTTTTCCTTCTCTTATTAAGCAGTCGATCGGACCTTTCCAATAAATGGAACTTCCGATCTTGCCTCATGTTTAGAAGGGGAAATAAAATCAGATTTATACTAACTCTCTGCTCCTTAGTGTTATCATGAGCATATAACTGAACCGCCCTAACCCTAGGGTACGTTCAGTCTGCCCAGTTACCTTTGTTTTACTCTTCATCTCTTTCCCTCTTCCTTTAGTTCTACCTGACTTATGGACTGGCTTTCCCCACCCGGGGCGCCCGGTCCGTCAGAAATATAAGTTCAAATTGTATATATATCAAGTTTTATACTCTGGTTGACCATTTAGTTCATGGCTCATGGCTAAGCCGCCCTAACCCTAGGGTACGCTTAGTCTTATGCCGTTATTCCCTCAGAAGAAACATACACCACAACTTGTTAAAAGAAACATCAGGATACTGAGCCTTCCCCACCCGGGGTGCCCGTCCTCCTGTTCAGAAACCCTTAAAGAAAACAGCGGTTGATCCGTCCCACCCGGGTAAACCAGCCAAAAATCATTCATTCAGATCAGCAAACCTCAACAAAACATAGCCCTGAGTCCACATCCACCCGGAGGGACTCAGCCTGGGTTTGACCCGGTCAAAACATGCAAAACACCTTCCTTCTGCCTTCCTCCAGTTCGTTTTGTCTGAATTCGCTCAAGGATTATCTGACTTCTCATACACAATTGTTCATTAAACCCTTCACAATGCATGTCCTGACAAACATAATAAAACAGAAAAAGTAGTAGCCTCTCACATATACGTTCTGATACCCACGGGATAGCAGATAGGGGAGAGGATCACACGCGTCAAACGAGAGTTATACCTGCAATTCCCTGCCTCCAGAACCCCGCCTGGGCTCCGGCAGAGCTCCCGCAATCGGTGGGGCGTACCTCCCACAGAGGCCTTGGCGCGGTCCTACGGGTTGCAATCCCGCCTCCCGCCTCCCGCCTTCCTCTCGTTACCTTGGACTAGACTGAGAGTAAGAGAGGTAGAAGTAGGGGTTTTAGACGCTCGAGATACAAGAAAGAGACTGACTCGACTCTAAGGAGAGGGCCTTGAAGTCTTCCACTCCTGAGGGCCCCGCAATGGCGGCCAATAACGCAGTAACGGTACTCAGCTCCCGACGAAAGGCAAAAATCCAACCCCCGAATGTCCACCAAGTCGTGGTAGTAATCCCCTTGCTTGAACCTAGTTGCCCCGTTCAAAGCCACAACCCCTCCTCTTTGACCAAACTGTGGAAACGCAACCTAGAAGGGTCGTGTTCTAATAGTGCACACCCCGTGCTCTATTCGAGGCGTAGGCGAAACTCCTCAATACTTCAGTTAACACAGTTGTGCATGCTCAATAAAATCAGTGAAATATTGCATATATAGAAATACTCATAGCATCGCACATCAGCAGGCCCAATACCTCGCTCAGAAACCAGCAGCGCCCAACAGTAATACAACAAATGACTGGGAAAAACACAGCGGTGATGGCAGCGAGACTCAGCAGCGGAATCGCACAGTAAAAAGGTACTACGACAGCACTGGCTCAGCAATTCCGGTCAGTACACAGTCTGGCAGCAACATGGAAATACAACGATGTTAGGGCCTGGCCGCCCTGTTCAACATTTTCTTCTTACCAATCGGAAGCCCAACCGCTTACCCAATGGCCAGTAATCTACGACTTCTCCTCTGCAGTAGAAGGCAAATCACTGCCTCTCAACTTGCAAGCGTTGCCTTCCCTCCAGTGTCTATTCAAAAACATACACAGAATGGAACAGAATTATACACACAACAAACGAGGCACTGTGGTAAATGCACAGTGCAGCGTGACAGTAATGCCACCTGAGAAGCAAAAGGGAGCAGTATAGTAACTGCCCTGCAACGAAAAGCCCAAAGCTTACGAGGCGCTCGAAAGCCAAACTTCCCCAGCTTGATGAAAAGGCAGGCAGCCTCTGGAAAGGAACAACAACCTGCTGAACGGTAATCTTTTCAACCAGCATCCTTCGGTCAGTCAGTAGCCGCACATGCAGATGGAACTCGCAGCACTCTGTCAACAGCCCTTTACCGAAAAGTCACAGTAACTCTTCTTAGTTCAACAGCCCACCTGTTAAGATCGTAAGAACAGTTCCTCATCGTAGTCCTCAACACAGTACCTTCATAGACTGTCAATTAGGTATGCCGAAGAGACTGCTGCCCCTACAGTAGTAATTCGGACCTTGTTGCCTTAGGGAGCCAACACCGGAATGACTGTGCACTTCCACCAACGCTCATGGTCGGGACAAAGACTGCAGCTGCAAGATCCAGCCTGAAGAGCGAGGACCTGACCCCCGCACACTTTAACTGATGTCCGATTTAGAATGACTTTTTCCCGAACGCATGGGGAGGTACGTTGCTTTTCAACTTCAGCCTTTGACTCGGCCTTAATTAGGAACGCTTCCTCTCTTATGCCCTTCTTCCTATCTAATTTTCCTGCTAATTCTCTTCTCTCTCTTATGCCAGCCGTAACATCTAACTTACGAACGCGCCTGGCTGTAGGCTTTAACCAGGTCCGTTTGCTGTCTGTGGGAAGAAGGTTATGAGCGGTGGCACAGAGGAAAGAAATCGCGGTCAGGATTAACAGAGAAAAAAAATGAAAATGAACTTTCTATTAGAAATATCGAGAGGCTACTTCCATCAACAGGAAGAACAAAAATGGAATGAATCTTCCGCTCGAACATGGGTGGATACACCGCTAAGATCCCCAGACAGGCACCTCGAAGTTTGGAGCCCTAGCTCGACTTTCGGTTCACCCCGCATCGCCATTTCTGCTTGGTGGTAAGCCTCTCTCTCTCTCCCTCTCTCAGTTGATGCACGTGTGCCGGTTTGGCTCTTTAGCAGCAGCGCCTCACCCAAGTCCGCTACAAAGATGGTGTTTGGAGGAGATAATGATTACCTGCCAAATGAGGATGATGAGCACGACAATGGTCGTGAGCAGCGCTGCGACCCCCTCGCAGGCGTACACAACGTAGAAGAAGACGACGATGAGTTGGAGTGCCCAGCAGTGGGCCACACTCGACTACTCACTAAAAGTGTAAAATGAGAAAGAATCTTCCGCTATCTCATGAAAGTATACACTGCTTTCCCAACCACGCGTGCAGGGATGTAGAGCAGTGCTACTTCCTTCCTCAGGATGAGCAACATACCGACAAACAGGTAAGTCTCTAATTCCGTGGCTGGCCTCACGCTACTTCCATCGATAGGATGAGCAAAATCGATATGAATCTTCCGCTAAAACACGGGAAGATTCATCTGCACTCTCGACATTTCGTAGTAGCTGCGCAGCTCCCTTTCGTCACCTCCCGTCAAACCATACCTTCTCCTCGTGCAATGCTCAGCCCGCACTTGCTGCTCTGCTTACGAGTACTACAGCACGCGGATGTATCCTCAGTTAGAACACAGGGAGATACACTACGGGCAAGATCACCTCAACGAGCACGCCCGGGATTGCATGCGCCACTGCAAACAGCAAACACCACCCCGGAAAGCAAGGTTGGGATCGGGGCGACGGGCGAATCTAGCCGGGAGAACTACTACCAACGAGGCGCATGGAGCAGCGTGATCTCTAGTGCAAGTTTTGGGAANAAGGTTGGGATCGGGGCGACGGGCGAATCTAGCCGGGAGAACTACTACCAACGAGGCGCATGGAGCAGCGTGATCTCTAGTGCAAGTTTTGGGAATGATTTTCCGCTAGAACATGCAAAAATGCATGCCCTCCCTTTTCCCCGCTCGCCTTCGCTTACCAACCGCGCAACCCATACCGTTGATACCACCTAAACCGTCCACCCTGCGTGAAAACCGACACCGTCATCAACTTCGCCTCGCCTTGAAACTCCAAGTTAGTATTTTATTTTGCCTGATTCTATGAAGGAATGAGGGAGATAAACATTTTTAGCTCCCGCTCTCCCTTCTTCCCTCGACATCTCCGCGCACCCCATTTCTTTTCTTTCTCGTCCTACACACTCCTACTCGCCACTCTGACCTCGCCATTGACTTTGCCCTGACCCAAAACCTCTAGATCGGGTCTTAGTTCGCTAGATTCCATTAAGGAATGAACGATCAAGCCTTTTTGCACCTCACTTTCTCCCTCCTTTCTGCCTTCGTCTTCTTCGTCTCCGCTCGCGACTCCTGTTTTTCCTGTACATAGCACGTCTTCAAGTCCAGGTTCCTCCCCCGAGATGTGCACAACTCGGACCCCGAAGCAGCACTATCACGACTTTTAGGAAGGAGGACGCCATTGTGGCTCGAGAAAGAAAGCCGCCGTGACTTGGGGAGGAAACCACCTCGTCTTCGACAACCGGGATGAGGGCAGCCAGCGGAATCAAGGTGGGCTGCTACCCGGACCCCGCAGACGAGCACAGCCGGGTGCAAGCTCCACCCCAAGGTACGTTCTCTCGCTCGCCCTCACTCACGGTGTCTCACAGTTCTTCATCTCCCTTCGTCAACTCCCTGTTCGCTGTCTCTCCCCTCCAACTTTGCCTTCGTCTCTCGCTTCACTGCACTAACGCAGCCTCCACTCCTGACAATACTGCTGGCAGCAGACGACCCGGCAGCACTTCGACCCAGAGGTAAGTCATTTGACTCCCCGGTTCTCGGACCTCCTTTTGTAGTTTTTCCACGCCGGCCTACCACCGTACCGACGCCCCGCGGTTAGCGAAATCGGTACCACGCAGGTGCCACGCCAATTTTCTCTGTATCGTTCCAATTTTAACGGATGTCCCGAAGGACTAGCTGAAAACCGCGGGGTYGAGGCATCACCAATGGGCCGACCGGCCCCAGACAAGTCAGAAATATTTGTCATCAAGTTCCATTACCTGGATTCAAACACGGGTCTGTATTTCAAAAGTTCAATGGTGTACCCACCGAGCTAAGCTCTTGGGTTCCACGGTCGGTCCACAAACCAGAACCGGACCACGTCCCAAAATGGGACGAAATAAAAAGAAAATTAAAAAATAGGAATAATAATTAATAAAAATTAAAAAAAACCTACCTACTAGGAATAGTCAGTGCCAATACTCGACGCACGCATGCACGATAGGCCGACCGATCTCTCACCTCGCCGCCCTGCTCTCCAGCACGCGAGAACGCTGGCCAACCCAGGCGACCGAGAACGGAGGCCTGTTCCATCAATAGATCTTACCGACTAAAGACAGCAAACACACTTCTCTGTGCCCCTGTAAAAGAAAAACGGGGGACCGCTTTCGCTTATAAAAATAATGGAGACCCTGCGTCTGCCGTTAGTGCCAATGTGCAGTGGTCCCATAACGGGATACCGRCGGATCTCCAACCCTCTTCAAATCGTATCATCARCCTACCTYTATCGGGTACCCGTGTCCGATGGCAAGRAGGGGGCTTATGACCCTYCTGAGGGGTGATAAGCCTCCTACCAATGCGGCCGCGGGTCGCCCTCCCCTTCTTTTGGAGCCTAACCACACGGCRTCAGTTCGGAGCTCACCCGCTGATTATATGCAAGGCATGCCTACTTTGGCCATGGGTCGCTGGCTCGTAAATCRAATCATTGGCCTCCCRCGAAAGGACAGGTCRASAKGCCAAATTCGAAAATAGAAAATCTAAGCAAAAATAACAGAAATAGTAATCAAAACAATAATAATAAAATAATAATAATAATAATCGCAGGGAAAAGAAAAGGAAATAAAGGGYAGCGTTCCAGAATCTCTCTGCGCAGCAACCTCGCCCGAACCGCGACCCGCGTTCACACATGAGTCTGAAAACCCAATTTTCAGCCTTTGCCCTTTTTCCCTTTCTTTTTCCTCATTTTCCTACTTTTCTCCTTTTAGCCCTCACTGTATCTGCCTCTTAACCTAGCCATCGAGGTCCATGCGATTCAGGCTAACAGGTCTGGCTCAGGCAACTTACGAGAGGCCGGTAAGGCTCAAACCATAGGACCGCAGTTGCGGTCTGAAGACCCGAATCGGCGGCCTTCCCCATGAAGTGACAAATCGATGGGCGAAAAACTGGAAATGGGGGAACTAATTATTAATAATAATAATAATAATAATAATAATAATAATAATAATAATAATAATAATAAAAGCGGAAAGAAAAGGTGGCGCTTCAAATTTCCTTCGCGCCACAGCGTCGCCTGAATAGCGATGCAAGTCCACGCACAAGCCCAAACCCGATTTTCATCCTTACCTCTCTTTCTTTCTTTTCACACTTCCCCTACAACTGTTGGGGTCCTACCGAGCGGAAACTAGACGCGCAAACCCGGTACACGTGATATTTGAAGAGTTGAGCCCGTCTAGACTACAATACCACCGCTCGAGTTCGAAGCCCAGTCCTGTCGGCCTTCCCACGAAACGACAGGCCAGTCAAGGAAGGCAAAAAGGAGATAATGATAACAATAAATAGTTAAAAAAAATAACAAAAAAAGTTAGACGCAACGATAACTGGGGTTCAGAGGCCATCAGATTTCCCCCGAACTAAAGCTAGTAGTCCAACCACATTAATCAGACCTCTGATTTTCTATTTTTCTTTTCTTGTTGCTTTTTTTTGTTTAGCTTTCTATCTTCTTGATTGCTGTCAGTATCATGCACCTGACCCATAACCTGCCTAGGGCGCGATCGGCGCGCAGCAGAAAAGACAACACCAGTCTTCTCACCTCAGCGTCCCAGGGCGAACCTGGCAGCTACCATGGTCACAGACCGGTTGTGCTCTTCTGTACAGCAGGGCGTCGAGCCTGCGTGGACCAATGGAAGTCCTGCGGCGCACCCTTTTGCTGAGGCAAACGCCGAGCAGGTCCAGTCCACATCATGGTATAGCCCAGGTACCAAGTAGGGACTTGGCACACGGAGGAGGGCCCGGACACCGCGCCCTCCGACATAATACCAAACCCCCACCCAGCGTCCCCGCTGGGTCAAAGTTTTGCGACGCGATCCGGTATTTAAAACAGCCACAATCGTCAATGTTCTCATCCGCTTCCGATGTGGCTTGCGTTGACGTCCGCGCCACACTCTTGTGCAATTCGCTCACCTTTCCTCTTTGCCCCAACCATCTCTCTGCGCTAGGCTTCTCTCATAGCGTTTGTTTTCTTTTTCTGCTCTCGTCGTCCTTTTTACGGTCGCACTCTCCTCCAGCGCTCGTTCTCATTTTGCAATCTAGCCTTCTCTCTTTGCGCCTCAGTGCTAGCTTTCTTATGCCAACCTTCTCTCTCTACGTTAACCTTTCTTTCTCAGAGTTTTCTTCCTCGCTCAACAGCTACCTTCTCACTCAATACCTACCTCTCCTCTTAGCGCTCTTCTCCTCTCATATGTAGTGTACCATAATTCTTCATAGCCGATGCATTTATAGTCTTGCCTTTATAAATCTCACTCATATAGTATTCTCAGTCATAGCCCTTGGAGATAGATCCTCTGTCTTTTATCCTTTGCTTAACAGCTGCTTCGCTTTACATCATGCCTGAGGCACGCCGTGGACAGGGTAGAGGTAGGGGAGGAAGAGGAGGGAAAGCAAAAGAAGAACCGCCAGCTAGGGCACGACGAGATTATAGCTCAGAGGAGGAGGAAGAAGAGGAGCCACGAGGCTATGGCCGCTTAAGGCCACATCCCCGCTACCCGTTAGGAGGGTGGCACGAGAGAACTCCGTCTCCTGACAGGATGGAGTTCCTTCGCAAGAGGTTCGATGCGCGCTACAGTACCCCCAGCGCTTCTTCACCTCCTTACATCCCTAGGGCTCCTTCCACCCCAACCGTAAGCAAAGCCATGGTGCCTTTCTCCACCTTCCTCTATCCAGCATCTTCTTCCTTCTCTTTCTTTTCCAGCTTGAACTCATGGTTGTCTTTTATGTCCTATATAAGCGCGACTTCTTCTCTGCTTTCTGAGTCTGATTTCGGCTCATAAAATTTCCAGTTCACTTTCCATTCCATAGCGTCCCAGGCCTGAGAGTTTGGCTTCTTTAAGGCCAGGGATGCAGGTTCCTCGTGAACCAGGCCGCTTGTCGGCCACCAAATAAAATTTTAAGAAGGATTTTGTCTGAATCCTTGACTTGTTCAACCGTTGGCTTTTTACATGGAGGTTACATCAGCTCTTGATCAGGCATTTATGCCAAGGATGACCCCAGTAACGAGGGTACTCACTCTATCTGCTATGCTGGGAGTAGGGTATACCAAACCCTCTTTTCCGTTCTCTGGTATGAGGGACATCTTCTCAGTTCCTCACTTGATGGAGATACCAAACCCTTGTTTTCTTTCTCTGGCCTGAATGAGGCGTCTCACCGTCTCCTCAACTTCTCAGAGAAAAGGGAGGAGATACCAAACCCTTTTTCTTTTTCTTGGTCTGGGAACTTCAGATAAGTATTTGTATAACTGCAAAACCAGCAAGCCCCACAGACAACAACCATGCCCCAGCAAGCAGACCCTCTGACAACCAGCAGTTAAGCATCAACAAATTAAAATAAAACCCATAAATAAAATAATATATAATAATGAATAATTAATACATAACAACTCTTCGTACCCAGGATTTATTGATTGCCTTGGTTTCGGCTCACTACTGGCCAGGAATGCCAGACGTCCCGTCAGTCTGACACACCTCATTCGGCCCGCCTCAGGCCAGGACTAGTCAGACCATCTGTCTTAACAGCCCCTTTGACCTGCCTCCAGGTCAGGACCAATCATACCCACTACTCGAGTAGCCTTTGGCACTCTCGCCAAGACACCCAGACTATAGCGGGTCTGGTCACCCTATGATAGTAGACGTCCCGTCAATCTGACTGTCCCGAATCCGGATTTGACCACTGCGGTCAGGGACCGGCTTACCTACCAGTTTTTGGCCAAGGGCGCTGGCTACCCCGCCCAGATTTTTGAACGTCGAACCCGGTCTAACCACAGTTCCAGGCTCTAACTAACCTCACTAGATTGCATCCTCTGACTGCGGTAGGGTTCCAGCTGACCCCTTTCAGCCTCATAGGCCAGACTCCCGGAGTCTTAGCCTCAGCTGACTACGGAATTCGACACTCGCGTCGGGGACCTGCTGACCCCACCAGATTGCAACCTACTGCGGTAAGGCTCTAGCTGGCCCCGACAATCAACGCATCCTTAGGTTAGAGAAGAAAACCCCAGGCACAGACAACCAGGCAAGCATATTATAACCCACAAGCAGACTGCCCACGCCCCATAACAGGATAAACAATTTCTCAAGAGACGTCCCTTCAGTCTCAAGCGGCACCGAATAATAACACGCTAGCCAACACTATGAGTTCGCAAAGGACCTCCCTTCGGCCTCAAGCAAAGAACTTAGTGCTAGCCCCAGAGAGGTCCCTTCCCTCAACTGGGATTTCTTTTCCAAGAGACGTCCCGTCAGTCTCAAGGAAATACTGAAATACTGATCTCAGAGAGGTCCCTTCCCTCATCTAAGTGAAGACAGGCCCTTGGCCAAGAAGCACAAAGTTCCTCTACTGACCACTCTTAGTCAAGTAAAGTTGAACCTTCTTTATGCCTGCCTTCATCTGAGTCTCTTGAATGGACAGCTTAGTCAGAGACACGAAATTCTTTTGCTGATAACTTTCATTCAGACAAGACTGGACTTCTTTATGTCCATCATGCTTTTTTTTTGTAATAAGAATAATACTGCTCATATCATTTGATGTGCCACAACCATGAGTTTTCTCAGATCTTGACACTGTGTCAATGCTCCCAGAACTGTACTCACACAACCATGAGTTTTCTCAGATCTTGACACTGTGTCAATGCTCCCAGAACTGTACTCACAGTCACTCCCCACTCTCAGGATTTGACACTCATGGAACGACTGCAGCGATGCATCAAAGATATAGTCTCATTAACTTAGTTGCTTGCTGAAATAGATAATGAATTGACTTGCCGAAAACTAGAATATCGAAACTGAGATGATGCAACTGAAGTATTGAAACTGAAATACTGAAGTTGAAATGCTGAATCGACTATGCAAGAATGATTATTGTCTGCCGATAACTGAGCCTCACTGTCTCAGTGTCTTACTGTACTCTTTCTCAGTCCTCTATGACCGTTCTCTTACTCGGATGGTTGACTTCTCTTTCCTCTCTTTGGAGTCACTATAAGGATCAAGTCAGGGTCTCTGAAGATGAACTTACGGAGTCTTGACCCGGATACCATATCATGAACCCTGGATCCATCAATTTCTGAGATCTCATAAACCTTGCCTTCTGCCTCTCTTGTAATTCTGTAAGGACCAAGTCATCTGGGCTCCAATCTTTTAGTCCATTGTGTCTCAAGAGAACTGTCAAACAGAAGAACAACAACTCCAATCTTCAATTTATTTTTTCTTACATACCTTTTCTTGTTCCATCTTTCTTGATCCGATAGCCTGTTGGATGCCATTCTCTCTGCTGCATCCATCACTACCTGATCAACTTCAGATATCTGCCTCATTCTGATCTGAAGGAGTTCTGAAATAGAATAATCCCTGTCACTTTCCTGACTTGACCATGTCTTAACAATACTCTCAATAGGTAATGTAGCATATCGGTTGTACCACAGAGTAAAAAGTGCATAACCAGTAGTTCTCTTGACTGTGATATTATCAGCATATACAACAACTCTTAACACCTTTGGCCAGTTACTGAGTTTCCCTTCACACCACTTGGCCAATGAATCTTTCAGAGTTCTGTGGCCTCTTTCAACAGGTGCATTCGCCTGAGGATGGTAAGTAGTCACATACCGAATTCTGACACCCAATCTGAGTGTAATTTTTCTGACAACCTCATTTCTGAATTCTGATCCTCTGTCTGAGACAAATTCTCTGATAAAAGGATACCTGAGATAGACTTCCTCTATCCAATCAGCCACTTGCTCGGCTGTCTTCCTTTTCAAAGTTTTTGCCTCAACGTATCCAGAGAAATTATCTCTCATGTTTAGTATGTATCTCATCCCACCCTTGCCTGGAGGCATAGTGATGAGATCCAGATGAACTCTACTACCTGGCTCTACCAGGATTGTAGGGAATAAGGACTCAATCATCCTTGTGGTAAACCTTTTCTGACATAAGACACATGATTTACAGTATCTGAAAATCATGTCTCTCATGCCAGGCCAGAAGTAGAGTTTGACAGTCTTGGAGTAGGTAGCTTCAGCAGCTCTGTGGCCACTGGCAACCCCCTCATGTAGAGCAGCGATTATCTCTAACTGCCTGTCTTTACCACAGACCACTCTTAGTAGAGGTAGGCCTCCCTTACCATCCACAAAGAGATGTCCTCTTTTTAGTCTGAATTTCTTCCTTGAATCTTTACAATAATATTCTTTTAGCCGCTCCCTTTCCATCTTTCTGCCAATCTCTTGATAATTTTCATCATATTCTTCAAGAAGCAAAATATCTTTTCTTCCTTCTTTTCACTCTCTTCTTCTTCCTTTGAACTTGAACTTTCCCCAACCTCATGAGCAGCCACTGCTGCAGCATTGACTTTAGCATACCAATCATTTGGTTCATCTTCCTCTTCTTTCCCAAGAACCGATTCATAAATATACGCACTAGGGATCTCTCCCCAGCTGTCTCTTTCTTCTGGCCATGGACTCCACTTGTAAGAGCATGGCACCTCGTAGTCCTCATCATCTTTCTCATTAAGGAAATTATCAACATAGGTTGATTCTTCAATCGTTCCTTTCACATTTTCTTCTTCTTTCTCTCGCCACTCGATCCGGCTTAAGCCATCCGCTCTGTTTTTCTTAGTGGGGATCTTTTCCAGTTTGAAATCATATGTCCAGATGAAAGCGATCCACCTGCTGACTGTTGGATCTACCTGTTGGTGCTTTTTAATGACACCTATCACAGCAGATGCATAAGTCCTCAGGATGAACCTCGTTCCTAAAACGTAATGCCTGAAGCACCTGAGGCTATGTATGATAGACAGTAACTCTTTCCTGAATTGGGTGTAGCCTCTTTCAGTAGAATTGAGAGTTCTGCTTTCAAATCTTAGAGGTCTTTCTCTCCCATTTTCATCTTTCTGAATAAGTACTCCACCCAGAGCAACTGACCCTCCATCCGCCTCAATGATGAAAGGTCTTCTCTCCTCATCATGATAATATGGTACTCCCAGCACTACACCACCACCTCTTAGTTTTTCTTGCAACGTTTCTGTTGCGGCTTGTCTTTTATCATTCCATGCTAAGTTAGCCCCTTGTCTTACCATCTCTCTCAGAGGCTGCAAGGGAAGCAAAATGAGGAATAAAAATCCTCCAGAATCCACAGACTCCCAAGAAGCTCCTGACATCTGTCACTCTTTTGAGAGGCAGAGGCCAGTTCAAGTTCTTGTCTATCTTCTTGGGATTTGGGCTCCTACCCTTGGAGAAGCATCTGAAGCCCAAGATTATCACTTCTGGTTGGAAGAGAAGGGACTTTGGCCCACTAGCAGTCAGATTTTACTTCCGAAGTCTTTCTAAGACCGTCTTTACTCCTTCAGCATGTTCCCAGACAAACTTTCTGACTCCCCCTGCGACCAAAGTCTCATCTCTAACCAAGGGTCCTTTTACAGGATTATCATCAATGTAGGGACTGGTTATTTCAGGACAAAAGTCCTGCATGACTTTGATCATATCCCTTTGAACCACTTCCACTCCGTTAGTCCAACCCTGAGGTACCACACACATCTGAACAAGCCCCCTTGGCATGTGCATAGCAGTCATTCGCCAGCTAGTGGGATCAATAGGAAACTGATCATAGCCAGAATACAGGTCGACTAGAGAATAAATATCGACCTGCAAAGGATTTGGCGAGGAGATCAGCATTAGGAAGACTACCTGCAACACGTACCGTCACAGAATTGAGTTTATGAAGATTCTGTATCCATCTTAGTCCGCCCCCTGGTTTCCAGAAACAAAACCAGTGATTAGCATACGGTCCATCAGCAGGTTCAACAACATTAGATGCAATCTTCTTGTCAAGGTACTTTACAACTTCTGCCTCTTCCTTCAAGGCATACTTGGTCTATCATTCCATGGAACGTGATCAACTATCCAAATCTTGACCATCTTGATCATGTCCACATCCAATCGCGCCCTCTCTTCATCATTAAAGGAAAAAGCACCAGAGAATTCCTGACACATCTTGAAGATATATTTTTTCTCTTTAGGCAGGATAAACTGATCTAAGCCTATCTTCATTATGTCAAACCTTTCTTTGGTGACTCTATTCTCCAGTTTTGTTGATTCCCTCAATGCTCTTACAATTTGTCTTTCCTTTTCCAATGCTTCGTCATAATCTTTCTCTATTAAGACTGCCAATCGGTTTTTCTTCACCCCCTTGGGCTTGTATTTTCTTTTTGACCCAATGGCTATTTTCCTAAAAAAGGGTGAATCGATGCAAATCTCAATTCCATCTTTCCTCCCTTAGCAGTTTCTACAGCTTTCTTAAAGGCTTCAATTTGCCTGTCCTCATCCTCGAGTTTACCAAGGGCTTTCATCATTTTCGAAACTTGATTGATTCCCACTGAAATCTCTTCTTTTGCTTCTCGTTTTCCTTCCTCCTTTAGTCGCCTAACCCTTTCAGCAGATTCCTCCCTCCTGATCGAATTAGCAGATAGTTGATGCTTGAAGTCATTTTTCGTACCGACCATAAAGGTCTGCACTTGAGCAGTCTCGGGATCCTGCAGACTGATCCAAGCTGACCCCTCATGACTGAAAAATTGGACCGCCTCTATCCTATGCAAGAATGGAGTTCCCAGGATACAGTCATGATCCAGATCCGGTAATACAAAACCTAGTAACTCCACAGTCATCATCCCAACCTTGATAGGCAAATTATCAATGAATCCTACCACGAACAACTCTCCTAAAATATTACTCAGTATATTTTGTGCAGGTCTGTCAATAGATAAATTACATGCTTCCATCGTTCTTCGCGAAAGAAGTATCATCTCTGCCCCAGAATCTACTAGTGCTAGAATCTTCACTTGATTAATGCGAATTGTAAGATGCCCACAACCCATGGTTGCAAATCTCATCTTGCAACCTGGTAGTGATCTATTCACTTGGTTGGGAAAGACTGACCCCAAATAATTAACTTCCATTTTCTTCTTCTCAATTAACCTTTTCAACTCTTTTCTCAATTTTGGTGCTAGCGTCATTGCTTCTTTGAAAGACAGTGTCACTCCCGTTTCTTCCAGCATCTTAGCAATTACATCAGAAATCACAGTCCCATCATCCAAATCACTCTTGAGAATAAATTTTTTCTTTCTCCCCTGTTCATTCTTTTCCTGTGAACGTTCCGGTTCAGGATCATCAAGGATGTCGATAAGTGATTCCTCAACCTCCTTTCTTTTCTTTTTTTCTATCATTTGAGGTGTCATACGGGTTTGGTGGTTCCTTACTTCACCAACCCTTACACTGGGTTCCATGATAAGTTCTGGGGGTAGATCACCATGGAATGACATCATGTTAGCCAGGAGATGAACCATTTCATTGGAAGAGGACTCTACTAATCCAGAAGGATTCTAAAAAGTAGGGTTCCCTCCCAATGGAGACTCACTTGTTGATGCCTCACTAGGCTCACACTCTGTATGTGTTAAGGACTGCAGAGACAGCTCAATCATGGTATAAGGGTCACTTGCTCTTTGTACCTGTTCATCAGGCAAGTCTCCAATGAGGAAATGAACATTCACATTGGTCTTTCTCTTCTTTTTAATCTTCATCTTCTCATCGTGTTTAAGAGCAAGAAGCCTCATATCTCCCGGATGTCTGGGGTCCAACTTATTCCATGAGCTATCACAGACATGGCCCATTGCATCTTTCTTTGCTACCCCACTCCTTACATCCTCCTCAATACTTGCAATAGGTGGTAGTGTGACCTCCTTCACCACAATAGTAGCAGACAAAACTCCTTTTAGGACGCTCATCATATTTTCTCCTCTCTCTGTTTCCTCCGTCACTATTCTTGCCATTCCTTTTAGTTCTGGACGATCCCCCTTCTTACCATGATTTTTATTGTCATCATCATCGTCGTCATTTTCCTCACTTTCAGCCTTTTTCTTTCCCCTGTCATCCACAACATGCGTTGCAGGCCTTGCAGGCATAAAGTTAGCCATCACCCTTTGAAGAATATTCTTAGCAGTTAGATTGCTTCCTCTATTCATTCCATTCTCAGTCTCTCAATCCTTGGCCAAAGTACTGATCTGATCCAGTGACAATTTCTTATGGGAGACAGTAGGTAGAGTTATTATGATTGCAACCATTTCATCCCATCTGAGAGGATAGTGCTGAGCTTGATTAAGAACTGCTTGTCTTTCAGTGTAAGTAAAATTTATCAAAAATATATGGCATCTCTGAGCTTCGTCCAAATATGGAATTCTTCTTGCTGTTCGGATGAAGGTCTGCAAAAAAACATTGAAAGTGTCATATTTAGCTCTTCTGATGTTAAGTAAGTCCTTAGTTGTGGTTGGAACTGAATTTTTCTCAAATTCTTTTCTCAATCTCCCCTTGACTTCTTCCCAAGTAGTAGCACATTCCATTAGTTCCTGAACTGCCAGTCTCGAATCAGTGTCACAATAAGATAGAAGGTGCTTAAGTCGTTGCTTATCTGTCCAGCCATAACTAAGTCCAAATAATTAATACTCATCCAAGAAGTCATTAACCTGAGGTCCTCTAAAGCAGGGAATTCTATCATCTGGCCTCTTTGCTCTTGCAATATCCGACCCTCCTTTGATTGTATCAACCCTCTCGACCAGTTCCCGTATAAACCCAACCAAGGCCTCTTCATTGGTCCCTGCTGATGTACTCGGTCTTGCTCGCCCTGCCATCTTGACCATAGACTTTTTCCAGATATCATTTTCTCTCCCTTTGTCACTCTTGCCCTCTCCTTCTTTGCCCCTCAGTCTCTCACTCTTCTAGCAAGGGATACAGGCTCATTTCTTTCTTCTCTTGTCTGCTCTACCCCTTGAGAGTTCTGTACTTATAGGGTATAAGCAATAATGGATTGGGTAGTGATCAAGGGCAGTTCAATCCGTCTCAGCCTTCCGATGTAATTTTCAATCAACTCTCTTTCATCATCGCTATTTAATCTTCTACTATATCCCTTTATAGTACCCCGAATCATAAAATATCGAGTCAGGTCTATAATCTCATAATCAAATTGCATCGTTTACAGCCCACTGTTGTTCCTTCTTGCTAGAGAGACCCGTTCCTGAAAAGTGTGATATGATACTCTCTCAGTAGTTCCCACTTTCACCACCTTTAACAAATAGTTTATCTCAGTCTGGTCAGTGGTAATTCTCAAGGCAGAATCTCTCATGCGATCTAAGAAAGGCTGCAAAAACTCAAACTCATCCAGGATAGAAAGATTTTTGTCAGAGATTCGAAGAGTCCCTTCTATCTTGACTACTCTACCTTCCAACACAACTCCTAGTGTCAGCTGTTCAGTCAAACTGGGCATTGCTAATCATCATAAGCAACATCTGAAAGGTAGATCTCGGGCTGAACATAATCAGGGATCTATCGAATCTGTGCTCAAAGGTACTACAAAGTAGGGATTTTATCATCACAGTGGAGTCTTTTTATCTTGCTCTACCAATCTCAGCAAAGGCTTCCAACAGAGGCATCCAATCTCTCCTGCCTTCAAACCCCTTGGCAATTGAGAACTTAGGAAGCCTCTCAAATTGTCTTACTTCTTTCCCCCAGGTTACCTTTCTCTTTAACTTTTCAAGCCACTCCTTGGTTCTTATGAGACTAATATAAGCACCTGTCTAACACTTCAAATAGTCATCTTCCTTTTCTAGGTCTGCTGGTACATAAATCCGTACGTCCAAGCTGCCAGTACTCAGGAATTTGACCACTGGGATGTGAAATATTATGGGCCCTCTCTTACAAGTCTCATATCTCAGGATCACAAAAGGATTATCACACCCTATCACCTCATAGAGTTTACACCTCACAGTAGTTATCCTGGCTACTGAGAGTATTCTTCTTGGACACTCTTCACTTTCCATGCAAACTTTATCATGGCATACCAATTGTATCTTGGGAATGTGAGTCCCCCAACAGGTGGAGAGGGTATCCCAACAAAAGGTCTGACATAGGTGCTAAAGGAAAAATTTCTTCCCTCTCGCTCTAATATTCTCTTCTCATCATGCACAAGATTCGACGCTCGCTGCCAACACGCACCTTTTCGGTTTTCGTCAAATCTCTGCTTCGTCACATAAATCCCAATATCATATTCATCAAGATCAATAAAATAACATGTAAGAACATACAGACTGTCATGTTCTTGCCCTGATCTCTTTATGGCTTCATACCTCACGATTTCATAAGCAATTACAGCCTTCCACGCTATAGAATTAAAATAATTTAGCAATTTATCTGATTCAGCCTTACTCAGTCCTTAATGCCCTCTTATCAGTCTAAGTTTAGATCTCTCCCTCAAGGGTACATAGCATCGACTCATCAGGCTCTTTGACCTCTTTTCACTTTCTGGGCAAACTCAATCACCGCAGACCAATCATCTTTTGATAAATTTATATCAGGCAACGGAGGAGCTGGAAATTCCTGGAAGACAGTAAATCGAGTAGATCTAGTGAAGCACTTGTTCTCTCTCTCAAGCCTCTCTCTCTCTTTCAAAACAACTTCTTCAGCAAATCCCCAGCATCTCCCATATACTGCATCAGCACTTCTTTCCTTTGGGACATAAATTCTTACGTCATACACATCCAGAACTGTGAAATAGAATGTCAGTACATATAATCGTTTCTGCTCCCATCTGCTCTCGACCATCTCATACCTGACAACTTCATATGGAAATGTCTCTCTCTTGCTTAGAGTATTCAACGACCTTAGGAGACCTTCAATCTTCTCTTGACTTGGACCCGAACCTCTGCCAAAATTTGACCTTCTTTGTCTAATTACTTCTGTTGAAATCTCTTCAGCTCTCATGACCACCGTTTTTTTTTTCTCTTGTTGATACCATGTTGATTATCGGCGGTCAGTTAGTCTCATCACAATAGTTGTCAGGTATAGAAGGGATTGGAAGAGTCTTGTATGTTACTGGCATTATACCCCATTCCACTTTTTTTTTTTGCTTGATAAAGTCTGTCTTTTCATCATAGATAAATTGGATCACGATCTCCCATAACCAATTAAAATTTTCACCATCATTGCTGCCTCCTTCCTTGACATATGGGCGGATATCATAGATATCTCCCTCCAAGAAATGAGTCAGCATTACGGAGATGGTTGAGCCACAAGAATGATAGCCCCAACAAGCCTCATACCTGTAAGGAAATATCCCTCTTGTAGTAAATTTAGACAATTCTTTCAAAACACCGTCGACCAGCATTTGTCTCGATCCGTCTCTCTCTTCTTTTCAATTCCTTTCAGCGTGTTGGGCGATAATTGGGCATACCAGCTGTCAAGCTCGATTCTCTCCAGTCAATAATTTCAATCTCCTTTTTCCGATCCAGTATGGTACCTCACACAAGGAAGAAATAAATGACAGTTAGCAGTCGTGATTCTCAAGAAAACCGGGACTTAAATGAGAATAATAAAATTAACATGAAGCTCACAAAAATGTCAACAGTTCCCACGTCCTAATCAAAGCTAAAAAACGACGATGACCAGGTTCGTTCCAGGCACGAAAATATTTTCATGTCCCCGGCAACGGCGCCATTTTTGTCGCACTTTTTCCAGTCGAGCCGCTTCGGGCGACCGGAAAGCCAACAGGCTGTCACGCAGGATTTTGTGTGTGCTTGCAATAAATGAAAATAAATTAAATAATACAAATCCCTTCCTGTTGTGTGCGTTCGGCTTCGAGCGAGATCCTTCAATTGCGGTCTTCGCCGATCCCCGGTCTTAAGAATCTTTTATTTTAATTCTGAACAGCAGAGAGTTATGCAAATAATAATCATAAAATTATGGGGTGCTATGCATGCATCAATTATGTCAATCAAATTTTGAGAACTGTGACAAAACATCCTCGAAGGCAATCATCAAACAAGAATAATGCAGAAAATAAGACTGACTGACTCGAGCAAGACAGGGGCAATTGAATGAGGGAAGAATGAGAACTCATAATAATCTCAAAAAGTACACGTAAACGAGCGTGGTCAGCACCTCTCAAGAGTCCTCACTAATCCCTCTGGTCAGTCTCTCTCAGTCTCATTTTTCACTGTTCGTCACTAGTGCTGTGACCCACGCCCACGTACAATCTGAGATTGAGGCCTCGTGACAAAGAGCCACCTGAAGCCAGCAAGCTCTGAGCATGACCAGCCGAGGTACATGACACGAAAGTTAACCACGGAGCAAAACTCCTCCCACAATGTAGGCAGCCCGTCCACTGACAAGTCTCCCCGTCTGAGGTAGGGATACTCGGTGGGCTCGGTCAGTGCCTCAATGTCGATCGCTGCTGGCGAGATATACCTCTCTGCCAAGCTGATCATATCCAGCCAACTCGTGTCATCTGTGAGGAGAGAAGGAACAGGAGGCTTGGGATAGTTGGTATAGAGCTTGGGTCCAAAACTGCGAATCAGCGTTGTGCCGTTCTCATCGAACTCTCTCTCTCTCTCTGCTCCAGATACCCGGCTGTCGAGATCCACACCGCGTCAAAATGATCGTGTGTCTCCTTGCCCTTTCTCAGGTAGGGCCTCAGATCGTGAATAGTACCGTCAGCAAAACTGGTCTAGACGACAAAGATTGACAGGTCTCCCTGTCTGAAACCGATGGCATTGACATAACGATAGCGAAAGTCCTCCTTGCAAGAGAGTCGATTGAGATTAGTCAGCACTGACTCGCTGACAGAAAATGAGTGGACCGTACTCATGAGGAAAATGTCTGGTATCCGCTGAATTGTCTCTGGCTTGCTTGCAGATTTGATTGCTGAACTATTTGCTGAACTGATTGTTGAATTGCTGATATAGTTTCTGACCCGAATGTCGAACTGAAAACTGAACTAAGTACCTTTTCTTATGACTGACCTGAATGTCAATTTGAATTTTGCTCTTAATACCTCTCCCCGATCGCCGATCTGAAAGCTCTTCTGATTGCTTGCTGGTCTGATTGCTAATCTGAGTATTGGTCTGGCAACTGATCTGTTTATTTGGTCTAGAAACCGATTGATTGCTGAAAAAAGAAAAGAAAAGAAAAAAAAAAACAACCAAACAAACAAACAAACTAAACCGGATGCTGATTCGAACGCTGTTCTTGGTGCTGCTCTGTCGGTTAAACTGAATGCTGACCTAAATATCTTTTCTGAGTACCGATCAAGACACCGATCTGAGTTCTGACTGAATATTGATCGTCTGCTGCTCAGTCACTACCAACAGTACTGTACTCTGCATACCAAAGGCATAGTCAAGTGCTGATTAATACTTACAGTTCAATTTCCAAGACCGTTCGTTGCTGAGTCAGTTCTCTGGTTGTCTGAGATCGAGTTGCTCTTTTCTGGGTCCCAGCTGCACGCCGATCAAGTGCTGGCCAGGAAATCCAAACAAATACTGGTATGTTAAGTGTTGAGATAACTGCGGTTTGGCTGTTGCTTAAATGGCGATTACTGCAATTGCCATCCGTGTTTTGTCAATATAATGGGTGCCCTGTCGTGGTCTGTTTCCGGAAACCAACCCACTCTCTCTAACCTGTCCTTGCCTCTCTCTGGGTTGATAGTTAGGCCCTTTTACTGATTTCCAATAATCCTCCTCCTTGCCTCCTCAACGGACCCCACTGATGAGAGGGTACTGTGTAGCTTTTCATCTAATCCGTAAATGTAAAAAGTGCATTCAATATGAGTCTGGTTTTTCACTTGCTCTAGAGCCACTTCCATCATGAGTCTCTTCAGATAACTGAGGTTCTGTGAGACTCTCTCCTCCCAACCTTCACATTTGTCTTGATGCATTGTACAGGTCACCCTCAGCCTTTCCTCACCCCCCATCTCTCTCTTTATTTTGGCCTCCTTTAATGAATAGGCAGTTAACAATCACTGATCGTGAAAACCTGCGTGATAAGACAGAAAGGGGGCAGGGTAACCGTCCGAGGATTCTACACTAACCATGCGAAATCCACTCTGATTTTACTGAGTCTGCGTCAAGAGCCTGGACCTGCTCGTTGAGTATTGCTTGTCTTCAACAATCCAGACGGTGGAAAGTTTAGGTCGTGCCAAGTCCTCTGGTTCTACCTCAGTTCGGCTAACCCTGGGTTGAATTACCCGTGTCAGCGTCGAATTGCCCAGGCCTGTTTTGAATTCACCCGACCCTGGTTTAAGAGGTCTGGTTTACAATAACCCGCGTCTAGTTTCTGGTRCCYTGTGTTTGATTAGCCACCGGTCGAGTTTCCATCAGTCTGCAGATCATCAAAACCTTAACGGAAGCTCAGACCCTCGAGTTCTAGCTAAATGCTTGGACAGACAATGCTCGAATACTAATTCCCAAAGTCACCAAGTGCATTTTCTATCATTGGTCCGCCCCCCAGTAACACTTGAGGCAGCACAATCACCAACCTCTCTTCCTCTTTTGCCATTAACCAATAAAAGCCCCTTCTGTCCAGTCCGTTGTCTCAACTGATGAGAAGATGCACCAGTCGCTCACTCTGTTTATAGGAGTAAGCAGAGTATGCTACTGACTTCTAACCTCTCACCATTTCCCAACGCTCCTTTTTATCGGACTCAAGACGTTAAACTTTCCTTGTTAATTACGGGCCTTGATTTATGTATCGTACGTAAGGTCTCTAGACACGGTTACTCGAATAAAAACCCGTCTGATGCAAGCTCTAACTCAAAAGCCGAAATCCCTGGGTTCAATATTCACCTTTAAGAAAACATCCCCACCTGATTCAAAGAAAAGAAAATTTTGACCTTTTCACGTCAATACCACTTTTACGAGAGGCATGACTTGGCGGGTAAGGGAAGTGTGTTCAGAGTCCTCCCCCTCGTAACCAAAGCCAGACCAGCTATGACGGTGGACTCAAGTTGTTTCTTTAGGAGCCGGAAACTGGTCCGACCCGAATAGAATTAAGCGTTTTAATCACCATCAAGCAGGAATTTAGCCAAGGAATAAGAATTTTTTCTCAGTATTGCTTTCCTCTTCCCCATCCATTCAAGGATCAAAACCATAGAATATAGCCAATGAAAATCAACCCAATGTTCCCTCCAAAACATACAAGACTACTCAATCATTTGCAGGCTTTTCACTGTCACGCACTTGAGCATACTCAGACCTTCGCCTCCGTTGACAGTAACTCAATCACGCGAACATATGCAACCTTGCAATCATACCATTATGCAGTCACGCAAAAACAACACGTTGTGTAACCCAGCGAAGTGGTTATACAAGGCAACCACTCRACATAGTCACRCGACGTMACCGYWTGCGGGGAAGAGGCAGARTCTCAGTTGCACTTGTAATCTCCTCCGAGCCCCTTGCCAATATCAGGATTATCTAACTTTTCACCTTCATTAAACCCTTAGGCTGATAACTCGTACATTGGACTTCTCTCCGAGACCAGAACGTTTCCAGGTCATCATTACCAGTCGCGGCTATTTTACCTACTCATCTACTTACACACCCTACTGAGAAATTAACCTCAATGAGAACGCAACATTTCCGGTTAATATCTGTTAGTCGTTTGGATTTAAACAAAATAAAACAAGACAGAAGGAAGTTGAGATTGATAAGAGAAAGTAATTGTTACCCAATTGCTTGGCGTCTTATCTGAGAGTTCAACCGAAGCGGCTGTAAAGAAGCGCCCAATGACCTTCGATAGCAGTGCCCATTACCGATAAAAAGTCGCACGAAGATGGCATGATAGTGACCATCAGAGGAAGAACGTGGATAAGTAGCAGGAGTCGCCTTCGAGAAGAAAGTCTCCTGTTAGCTTCTCGACCCTCAACCTTCCTCCGCACACCCCAGTAACTCAGGCGACTACTCTAGTATAGAGCCCAGCATTCGATCCTACCTCCCTCGCCCCACTCATCCTTTTACATAGGCACATTGACACTGATAGCGAGCGTACACGCCCGCGTCCTCCCCCCCCCGTCTTGTTCTACTTACTCAGCAACTCAAGTTCTTGTATGCCTGCTTATGTCCTTTCCTTGTTGACCTTATCACGACTCACTCTGCGTCTAGTGCTTGACTGATCAAATCACGCACGCACGGATCAGAGTAGTGAAGATCAATTTATTTATTTTTAGTCCCGAGGGAACTGTTCAGCAGAAGACTAGCTCGTGTCCATAGACGACGGACCTCACGCCACACCAGTCCAAGTAAGAGATGACGTCAACCACTCCATACGAGAGTGCTGACTTATCCCACGTCCTACAAGAGTACACGCTCCACTGTCATCTCTTCCCTCAAAACTGACTTCCCCCCTTGGTTCAGGCTTTCTCCTTCTGTCTAGCCTACCCACGGGCTGTGTAGTTCGCCTCCCATGTGTACCCGCTCCATGACTCGACCCTTGGGCTTGTCCGAACTAGCTTCAAAGTCCCTTTCTCAATCACCCGCCAACGCGCCAAAAACTCACAGCGGTCATGCGGACACAAGACGTCATCCGTAAGAGTCGAGGCGGCAGTGCCGACGATGTTGAAGACCATTGTCAAAAAAAACTCCGTCTCCCTCTCAAGGGTACTTCCCAGTGTTGACCTCTCTCTCACTCTCGAGTGTAGCCTGTGTGTCCGTAACCGATCACTCACCCTCTCTCATACCGCCTCTAGCCTTGCCACATGCAACCCGTGTACGCACATAACCGCCCCTCCACTAAATCCCCGTGCATGATCGAATTTTCTAGCTCGTCACGCACTGGAGTCCAGTTGACGCCAACATCTAACCTCTTGGTCACTCCCACTCGTATATATATCTTTCGGCCGTTCACTTGATCGTCGTGATCTCAAACACTCCTTCCTTTTACGCACATCTCCGCCACTGTGTGAAGACTCGCTATGGCTCAGTGAACACGAGAAAGCCCCGAATGAATCGTGAAAATTATGGTTGACATCCACAGTATCTCAGATGATCGCACACTGCTCGCCCGAGCAACCTCTCCCCCCTCGTTAACCGCGCCACGCGTACGCATGTAACCGCCTCGTAGCTCATACCCCGTTTCTCATAATGACAAGACGCTGTCCTCTGGCGCTGCGCTCTCACACGCGTCCTTCCCTCTGCCTTGCCTCTCTCCTGTCCCGCGGCCTCTGGGTGTCTGCTGCGAGCTCGCCTCGAGCCCGCCAGTGTACAGCTCGCACCACGCGTGTGCCGCGCGCAGGCGTATCTCCCTGCTCTTGTTTGTCTCCCCTTTTCGTTGACTGCCTTCCTCTTCTCAGATTTCCACCTGCCCTCTCTTCTCCATTCTAGGACATCTAGGTGCAAAAAGTCATGCGAGCTTGCACGGATCGGCTGACGCCAATCGCACTCCACAAACTCACACTGTTCCCGCTCACGCCCTCTCCTTCTCGTTGACTCCCACACGCGCGTTTTCTCAGACCCGTCTTTTTCCCTTGTTCGGTTTCTCAACCGTCCCGCTGCCTCTGGGCGTCAACTGTCGTGAGCTGGCTTCGGGTCCCTTTTCCACCGGCTCCGAGGCTCGGTGGTGCCTCTGGATCTCGCCTGGCCTGATCCAGGACCTGAGGTCAGTTTCCCGGTCTGCCTCACTCATCTCGCTCTCCCCACCTGAGTCTCTCTCGTTGTGCTGTTCCTCCCTTGTCTCGGTCCCAGTTGATGACTCGGTCTCGTGATAGATGACCGACACCCTCAAGCCCACGGTCACCCCATCTCGCCTGCATCTCCGCTCCACCCTGTCACGAGCTTCGGAAATGGCAGCCTGCAGCCTCTGGTCACCTCGCATCTCCTCCTCTCTCCCCCCTTCTATGCAGACCTTCAGTCGGACTACCTCTCCCCCGTCGATTCAGGACCGTAGTGATCTGAGGGCCTTTGCCCGACATCGGAACCCAGCGCACCGTGTGCCACCAACAGTCAGGCCTATAGCCGTGTAGCGCCATCAGTTACACCACAACTACTTCCTACTAGGAATAGTCAGTGCCAATACTCGACGCACGCATGCACGATAGGCCGACCGATCTCTCATCTCGCCGCCCTGCTCTCCAGCACGCGAGAACGCTGGCCAACCCAGGCGACCGAGAACGGAGGCCTGTTCCATCAATAGATCTTACCGACTAAAGACAGCAAACACACTTCTCTGTGCCCCTGTAAAAGAAAAACGGGGGACCGCTTTCGCTTATAAAAATAATGGAGACCCTGCGTCTGCCGTTAGTGCCAATGTGCAGTGGTCCCATAACGGGATACCGRCGGATCTCCAACCCTCTTCAAATCGTATCATCARCCTACCTYTATCGGGTACCCGTGTCCGATGGCAAGRAGGGGGCTTATGACCCTYCTGAGGGGTGATAAGCCTCCTACCAATGCGGCCGCGGGTCGCCCTCCCCTTCTTTTGGAGCCTAACCACACGGCRTCAGTTCGGAGCTCACCCGCTGATTATATGCAAGGCATGCCTACTTTGGCCATGGGTCGCTGGCTCGTAAATCRAATCATTGGCCTCCCRCGAAAGGACAGGTCRASAKGCCAAATTCGAAAATAGAAAATCTAAGCAAAAATAACAGAAATAGTAATCAAAACAATAATAATAAAATAATAATAATAATAATCGCAGGGAAAAGAAAAGGAAATAAAGGGYAGCGTTCCAGAATCTCTCTGCGCAGCAACCTCGCCCGAACCGCGACCCGCGTTCACACATGAGTCTGAAAACCCAATTTTCAGCCTTTGCCCTTTTTCCCTTTCTTTTTCCTCATTTTCCTACTTTTCTCCTTTTAGCCCTCACTGTATCTGCCTCTTAACCTAGCCATCGAGGTCCATGCGATTCAGGCTAACAGGTCTGGCTCAGGCAACTTACGAGAGGCCGGTAAGGCTCAAACCATAGGACCGCAGTTGCGGTCTGAAGACCCGAATCGGCGGCCTTCCCCATGAAGTGACAAATCGATGGGCGAAAAACTGGAAATGGGGGAACTAATTATTAATAATAATAATAATAATAATAATAATAATAATAATAATAATAATAATAATAAAAGCGGAAAGAAAAGGTGGCGCTTCAAATTTCCTTCGCGCCACAGCGTCGCCTGAATAGCGATGCAAGTCCACGCACAAGCCCAAACCCGATTTTCATCCTTACCTCTCTTTCTTTCTTTTCACACTTCCCCTACAACTGTTGGGGTCCTACCGAGCGGAAACTAGACGCGCAAACCCGGTACACGTGATATTTGAAGAGTTGAGCCCGTCTAGACTACAATACCACCGCTCGAGTTCGAAGCCCAGTCCTGTCGGCCTTCCCACGAAACGACAGGCCAGTCAAGGAAGGCAAAAAGGAGATAATGATAACAATAAATAGTTAAAAAAAATAACAAAAGAAGTTAGACGCAACGATAACTGGGGTTCAGAGGCCATCAGATTTCCCCCGAACTAAAGCTAGTAGTCCAACCACATTAATCAGACCTCTGATTTTCTATTTTTCTTTTCTTGTTGCTTTTTTTTGTTTAGCTTTCTATCTTCTTGACTACTGTCAGTATCATGCACCTGACCCATAACGTGCCTAGGGCGAGATCGGCGCGCAGCAGAAAAGACAACACCAGTCTTTTCACCTCAGCGTCCCAGGGCGAACCCGGCGGCTACCACGGTCACAGACCAGTTGTGCTCTGTTGTACAGCAGGGCGCCGAGCCTGCGTGGACCAATGGAAGTCCTGCGGCGCACCCTTTTGCTGAGGCAAACGCCGAGCAGGTCCGGTCCATATCATGGTATAGCCCAGGTACCAAGTAGGGACTTGGCACACGGAGGAGGGCCGGGACACCGCGCCCTCCAACAACGCTCACTTCTCCACATGGCCCACGCGTTCCTGCCATAAACGCTGGTCCAAGCCCAGGGCCTGCCCTGTGGCAAGCTTGGGTGCCAATCTCCTTGAGGTGCCCTTCCACCTCGTCGCTGTGGGGACCGATTAGAACCTTGACGATTTGGCGGGGGACCTTGACCCGTTCCTCCCACTTGGCGGTTTCCTTGGCCGCCAACCCCCTGTGCGCCCGGTCCTACAGCAACTATTGTTTTGGCACCTTCAATGGCGCCCTCGCAGAACTTTCCTACATTGTCCCTTATCTGCCTGACCTCAACCCCAATGTGGGTAACTATGTCGCGCGCAAAATCTCTAAATCCCGACCCCATGGCACTCACGGCTACCTCCTGTCTCCAACTGGCTTGGCGCTCCTGCATCCATGTTGTGCCCAGCACCTCTAGGTACCCTAATATCTTATCCCACTTGGCCTTGTCATCTGCCTGCGCCTCCACTTCTTTCCTACACTCCTGCACCTTTGCCACCTCTGCGGTCAGTTTGTTTACTTCCTCTCTCCTCCTCTTCTTCTCCCTCTTCATCCTTAACTTCCATGCCAACTTCTGTTCCTCCTCCCTTTCTCGCCGTTCCATAGGATCCGCCATGGTTGCTAGCTCGTTGGCTAGCGCATCTCTCTCATCATGAGTCACATATGACTCTGCCTCCTCGTCTTCTCCCGACGATAAATTAGCGACCCACTCACTTATCTTCTTCTCCATCTCTGCGTCTGCATCCTTCTTCGTGCCACTACTCCCCTCTCTACTTTCAATACGCATCCTCTCTTTTTCCTCTTCTGCTGCCGCTTCTTCCTCAGCATCCTTTCTCCTCTCTTCCTCCTCCTGTTGAACTCTCTTCATCTCCTCCTCCAACCTCTTCATCTTAGCCGCCTTCTCTTCTGCGATAGCCCTTAGCTTCGCCTGCTTCTCCAGCTCCTTCCTCTCTTTGTTTTCTCTCACTAGGGCGGCCATCTTTTCTTGCTGCTCAGGGGTATAGGAGCTAATGGTCTTCCCACTACGCAATTCCATTATGGTGATAAGTGTACAACCGGATTAGTGGTTCCAAACCTCACCACGTAGACTATAACCCCTGACTGACAAACCTACTGACACAATCTAAGCACTCACAATGGTCTCTAGCCTGGACCTATACTATGGCTGTCACTACTAGACCTGTTGCTGATCAGGAGGCATTTAAGGAGATCCCCCGAACTCCTCAGGAGTTATTGAACGTCCCAGACAGGACGACGCGATCAGCAGGTCTCTCAAGACTTAGACGGTCTATTGTGCAGCCCACAGCTCGGATTTTGGGCCTACCGTGCCACACCGAGCAGCCCGCCGGTCAGTATCAGTCCTTGGGAGGGTTTGACCTCCTGGACAGTCGAGTCGTCAGGCACAACTTTTAGCCCTACTCATCCCGTGTGCGTTTGGTCAACAAGACCATATCCTTCATCCACAGAGTACTAGCACCTAGGACAGAAGAGACTCGATGCAGAAAGAATAGACAGACAGACTGGACTCAGCAAGTACCAAGGGGTGTGTGCACATCCATAGGGTGAGGGGTAGGTTGAAGGCTTGGCGAGATGTTACCGGCTCCAGCTTGGTCAAAGTCTTGGTCAACGCCTTGGTCAACGCTGCTATCAGCCCCCGGTCAACCCCCGGTCAACTTTGGTAACCGCCGGTCAACACCTCCGGTCAACCCTCCGGTCAGCTATGGCTGCCGGCTCCTCTTCCTCACCAACCCTCTTCTCCCTTTCACCTTCCTCGCCTCCTTTCACCCTGGCTTTCTTTTTTTTTT